AGAGAGATATCTTTCAACCTCATCCCAATTGCCATTGTGCACTTCATCCTCAAAATATTTCATATTAAAGAAAAACCCAGACTCTTGTTCAAGCCTATTATTACAAGAAAGGAGAAAAAAGAAGTGGTAAATGTAGTATTTATAAATAAATATTAAAAATGATCATAAATAACAAACTTAAATGGCATAAGCCCCACTTGTGAACAGTCTCTTTGAACTTTTCCTCTTCCAGAAACTGTAAAATCAAGAACACCAATTCTCTACTGAGAGACGACATCGTAGCCGGCCCAGGTTCGATTAGAAGGAAAGATGCAGGGATGAGCAAAAGCAAACTAGATCTGCAAATCTCACATGAAAAAACAAGTTAGAGAAATCGAGCAGCGTTACAAATCAGATGAAACGATTAACAATTCGAATCCAAAACATGAATGAAATCATTAACTAAACTAGACCCAGCGTAGCATTTAAGAAAGAAAACTACCAGAATTGCAAATTTATCTAAAAATCAGGCAAGCAAGGAAAAGTGCAAAACGAGTTGACTCTGTCGCGGACGATCAAAGAGGACAAGAAAGTAGCTTTATCTATATAGGAATCAGGATGCAAGAGAGGAAAAAGCTTCAAAAAGAGAGAGAAAATAGAAAGAATGGAGAAAACAAAATAAAATCACATGGAAAAGTCTGTCGACTCTAAAGCAACAGATTCGGAAATTAAGAGTGATTCCTGAGGAAGTTCTCACGTCTCTCACCTTCAAAGCCAGAAACACACGCACCAGAACAGAGCAGAGGGGGCGAGCTTTCTATCTCCTGAATTTCTCTCTCCTGAATGGACTATTATACTCGCCTTCTCACTCCTCAGAAAAACTCTCTCTAGAAATATTTACAGGACATTTGAACTTGCAGATGTGTTTTTTATATAGGATACAGCAGATTGGCGAGATGATAAGCCAAGTGACATATCGTTGATAGGTTTGCGTATGTATGATAAGCTATTTGATATCTTTGAGTACTTATATTATACGTGCAGTTATTTGGGGGCCCACGAAGCCGGCTTCAATTTCTCTAGTGGAGTCGGCTCGGAATCTTGAGCTGACAGCTGTCGTTCAGCTTGGAGTAAAACTTGCACAGTACTAGACAATAACTGTTTTTTTTTTTAATACAACGGAAAGAAAAGTACGACTCCTCTGTTTTTTTTATAAGATATTTTCAGTATGTTTCACACAAATTAAAAAAAATTTTAAACTTATTAATTCTCATTTAAAATTAATAACTTTCTAATTTTATTCCTATTAATCTACATTATACCTCATGTAAATAAAGGTTAAAATTATATATCCATATAAAAAATTTCTCTCAGTACCCTATAAATAGGATTAAAAAAATGTCTTTTCTCTACCCTATAATAGGATTACAGGAGTAGATTATTACTCTGTATTAACTGATTAGATCTTCAATAAATTTTTTTTAATAATATCAATTTATATTATATAAATATTTAAATCTAAAATATCTTCCCTGAATCTAATCTAAAGTTTGTCGCAACGACCAACCGAATCAGTATTTGCAGAAGAAAGCCTTTGTTATTTGTTAAAAAAAATATTTACCTTTCATTAATTAAGACCATCTTTAATCTAAAATATATATTTACTCCTTTAATTTTATACATGATTTTAATTTAACTTCTTAACTTTAGAAACTATAATTTTAGTCATTTAACTATAAAAGTGTTAAAAAAAAAAGAAATTAAGATCTTAAATATTAATAAAATATTCTCAAATGTTAATATATTAAACAACCATGATTATTACTAAAAATATCATTTAAATTTAATGATTTTAGGGTTAAAAATTAAAAAATATGCTTTTTAAAGTTAAGAAAATAAATTAAAATATTGTATAAAGTTAAAAAGTTAAATGTATATTTTAAGGTTGTGCTGACCTTAAAGAATACAAAAATTACTCTTTCTTTAAATAAAATATTTTTATATATAAAGTTTAGAATTTCAAATCAAACGCCCGCATCTTCTCAATGAGGTCAATTCAAATCTCAAAGAATAAACTTTAGTATACATTAAAAAAGTTAGATTTAGTATACTTACAAATTAATTACACACCCAAACGATTCAAAATATGAGCATAAAAAGTGTACATTTGATTTGATTTCGTTTTTAGGTGGAAAATCTAGCATTTAATATCCTAATGTTATATTTGGCCAAAAAAAAAACCTAATGTTATTTTCTAATATCATCTAGTATTCTCCTTTCATTTTATGATGCATCTAACTAATGTTTTTTTGGTACACCTAGCATTTTTGTTATTATTTTTTCTGTTGTATCCAACATGGCAACACGTGACTTTTAGTTATAGTTTTGGCTACCCAATGCACTATAAATAAGATTAAGGTGGTGAAAGTATCAAAAAATAATATTCCCTCTAGTTATTATTATAAGCTTCAAATAACTAATTCATGGATAATAAATAATTAGCTAAAATTAGTTAAAAGTAATAAATATGTTAAAAATATAATTTTGTTTTTAAATATACCCTTACAATAAATGAGAAAAAGAATGAAAGCGAGTGTGTGGGAAATGTAATAAGAAAGAGTATGACAAATGAAAAAAAAAATGAATAAGAGCAAAATAAGAAAAATGCATTAAATGTTACTAAGACAATTCCAAATAGAAGTTTATAAAATGGACTATACGTCCATACTCCTATCCAAATTTAAAGCTTATATATAGAACCAAAAGGAGTATCAGGATGTTTGATGCATTATAAATAAGATTATGGTACTAAAAGTATTATAAAAAAAAAAAATCAAAGTGCTACATGCATAATAAATAAGATCAAGATGCTACCGCAGGGTTGGGTCCGACTGGTCGCAAACGGGGGCGCAAGGCGCGTTCCCCTACCGGGTCATGGGCTCGATTCCTGGCGAGGCACCCTGGGATTAGTCTGGCCGATATGCTGGGATACCCTGAGTTAGCGATAACATCCTACTCAAAAAAAAAAAAGATCAAGATGTTGAAAGTGTTAAAAAAATCAAGTTAATGGATACACAATTAAAAAAATAATATCAGGATGTTAAATGCTGCTTTACCATAACTTATACTACTCCGGTCTTAATTATAAGAGCCAGTTGACTAATTTAAAGAGATTAATGAAGTAAGTTGAGTTAGTTATTTATCCTAAACAGGTGTTGTATTTCCTAAAATATCCTTACTGATCAAGTGTATTGACTAGAACTATTATTGTTAGAATAGCTATTTTGGAAAAAAAAAATATAAATATGAAAGACAAAGTGGACTGGGGTCTTATATTTAGGACCAAAATAAAAATCAAATAAAATCTTATATTAAAGATCGGAAGTAGTATTTTATGGTGGTACAAATTTTGTATTTTTTTTAATTATTTAGAGGTAGATCAAGTTGCTTGGATTCAGATAGAACGGTGGATAGACATGAACAGTTTCATGACGTGACCAACCAAAAAAAAAGTTGTCCCTGTTTTGTTAAAAAACAAAAAATATACTCCTCCTGTCATTAATATAAGACCCATTTAACTAATTTGATTAGATTAAGAAAGTTAGGTAAGTTAGTTAATTATAAGAAAATTGACACATTTTTCCTAAAACACCATAATCATCTTTCTTAATACCCCTATCTCTCTTTTACTTAATTATAGTTGAGGGAGTATCTATAGGGGTAATTTAGAAAAAATTGATAAATATAAGAAATGGGTCTTATATTTAAGACCAAAACCAACTCAAAAATTGGGTCCTATATTAAGGACCGGAAGAGTAACAAATTTGCCAAATAAATAAAAAACAATTTCTTATTTTTCTCGTGAGGTAACAATGTGGCTTTAACGTTGACCGATCGATTCATAAATTAAGTCAAAAATGTCGGTCTGGACCGCTGGTGATAATCGAGAGATGTGGGCACTTTAATTGGCCGTTGGATTCTGACATCGGACGGATGAAAAGTGAGTGTGAAGGAAAAGAGTACGAATAGATCCCGCAGGTGACACCCAACTATTGTTTTCAAATCTAATTATAAAATCTTATTTATAAATTATAAATAAGGTTTGATAATTAGAAGAGAACAAGATGTCGGAACGTTTGGCCCTCTATATTGAAGAATATTACGATGCCTGCCATCTTCATGTGTGTCAGTCAGCTAATCAAGAGATATGCGCACTTCCATTGTATCACGTGATAGACAGGCATACTTTATGATTGCGATACGAGATGACGATATATTGAAGTATGTGTTCGGGTTCCTTTGTCTCTTGAAAGGTGCTTTTTCCCTCCTCTTCTTGCGAATCTTGAAAGCTGCTCCTATTTTTTAATTATATACTCTTTTCAGTTTAAAATATAAAATAAATTTTATTTATTTATATTTATTAAAAAATTAGTTTAAAATAATAAATATGTAAGATATGTATTTTTTTAAATATGTCCTTATTAATAAAAATAAGTAAACAAATAATAAATAAATCAAAGAGGAAAGAGAATATATGTTAGAGATAAAATTAAAAAAAACTTATTAAATGTTCAGAAAAAATTGAATGTTATTTTATAAAAAAAAATCAAGTTTCTCCAACAAAATTTATTTCATATTTTAAACCAGAGGGAGTACTAACAAAAATAAGGGTGTGTTTGGATGAAACCAAATCATGGTTTGGAAAATAGCTTATGGAGAATAGATTCTGGAAAAAATAGATTTTGTGAAGAATAGATTTTGTGAAAAAGTGATTCTGATAAATGAGAGTGTTTGGATAGTTGTTATCAGAAAAACTTTTTATATGTACAAATTTTACTAAAAAATATAAAGTTAATATGATAATTACATAAAAGATAGATTTTATAATATATTTTAATTTGAAAAAATAAAATTGTTAATAATATAATTTTTACCAACATAATTAATAATATATAAAATAATATAATTAATATGTATATATAGTTATAAAATATAAGATTAAATATGTTTATAAAAAATAATTGAGGAATGTTAAAATCATATTATCGTTGAGACCTACTCTATAGGTACAATCATACTCTCCCATTTGAGCCAGAAGTAGAATGAATTCACTTCTTCTGAAACCATAGTTTTGAGCTCCAAACCATGGTTTTGATCCAAAACCACGGTTTCTGTTTTTCCTGAGTGTTTGGCAAGTCTGAGACCCAAACCATAGTTTTGGGTCTCAAAACCAGGGTTTTCTATGTTATCCAAACAGGCCCTAAGTTACTATTTTTTCTAATGAGAGACATAAATAAACAAATAGAGTCCAGCATGGCTCGTTGTTTCATACCGTATACAAAGCATGTTATTAAAGCTCGAGTCAATTGCTTGGATAAGTGAGCTGGTAAATCGGTTCAATTAAAAATTTTGAATTAATCAAATAAGTGTGAAAAAAAATTTTTTACTTGTTTAACTTGAAAGGATGTTATTTTGAGGTGAAAAAAATAGCAGTTCATTAGACATATTTTATTAAACTATTTATAGTTTGTACATAAATGTTTCATTTACATAAGAATTAATGACTTT